CCTCCTAGGTAAGTAACAAACAGAATTCCCATTGAGACTTTACTGAGCATTCGAAATTACAACAAGAAATCCTATAACAGTCGTTGGTAAGTCCCAAAAAGAAGTAACAATAAGTATATAAATGGTTCGTCCTAGCGACTTCTGTGACTTCGCTGGTTTGCTGGGTTATGCCACTCCAAAGAAGTTGAGAAAGAAGTACCTACAAATAGATGGATCTTCCAGTATACTCCTTCCCTCAGTGCTCATATGTATACTGTTTTTCCCTGAATTATTTTATGAGATACCTTCATAAAAATTTACAATTATAAATGAATTTGAAATCCAGGACTTCCATATATGTAGAAATAAATTAACAATGAGCAAAAGTAAGTATCTACCTGGTAGGTACCTATTTTAAAAGGAATCAGTAAAGATTATAAAGTGAAACTTTGAAATTGCATCAAAAAAGAATGAGGTGTTGATTGAGGTAGTTGTGGAAGTGAAATATGAATTTCGAAAACCTACAAAAACAGAAAAAAAACTAGAACTATTACTTATGAATGAAATACAGTTTAATAATAACATACAAGCAGTAAAATTATGGATACATTTTTCCAAGATACAATTTGAAATGTCATGGATATGTTCAAGTACCCAAATAATCAGTGATATCTCCATAAAAACTTGAATTCAACTTCAAGGAATCTGGGTTTTGGTTTCAATTTGTGTAACTATTTGCACTCAATTGTAAGATACCCTGGATGGCAACTCCTCCCCTGCTGAAAAATTGAAGAAATGTTAGTACCTACTATAAACAAACCATATCTATTAGCTATTACACCATCTAAATATTCAAATAGAAATAGATTGTGTCACTTCAATGTATGTTCAAAGATTCAATTCAAGCTATGAAGTAAGCTACCTACAATGACCTGCTTGTACCAGGGTTATTATCTATAAAATATGCTACTGTTTTTGCTCATATGAATGTAATTGGGAGCTGTATTTCAACTTGAATCATTTTGGAAGTACATGCAATCTGCATTGGCTATTTTTCTACAAAAATGATGCTACAAAATAGGAATCCATGGAGGCCTAGGCAGGATGTCATGAACAAGATTTTTATATGAGTCAAGCATTATAAAACCATAATTTACTCACCTGCACATGTTCATAATGTCTTTTTTCTTGCCCAGCTTTGTGTATTGCAGTTCAAAAGTCAAAGGCATTGAATTTGCTTCTTTATTTTTCTTATAAAAATATTTGAAAGAAAAACAACCATATCTATTTTTCCAAGTCCTGGAGACATTTCCCCATAAACAAAATAGGTATGAACTGTTGATCATTTCCATTCATGTTCTCTCAGATAGGCACTGCAAATAAAAGTTATTCATCAGTAATTAATAAACAATGAATCACAAATTTACCTTATTGTTATTATTATTGGACCAATGAATTGAAGAAAGGTAGGAAGTTTTTGTTGGAGCTGCATACATCCAGTTTTCAAACTCATATTGGATTTTCAACGTTTATCCATTTTTTTCATTCAACTGAACTGATTTTTCATTATCAGAAAAGACTTCTTGTTCTTGAGTGCAGGAAATTCATATTAGAGGACATATTGTAGGTCCTACATTCCATTGGAACCTTCTACTAGTTCAACCAGCAACCAAACACAGTTGATTTCGCGTATTATCAGAGATTTGTTGATACTAATTTATAAAATAATATAGAATTGATTAGGCAATTGATATAAATATAAAGTTCATGTCTTGTACTCAAGAGACGCAAGAAGAAATTAACGTAATTTGTTGAATGGTATTCATAAAATATGAAACCCACTGAACACAATAACAAACATGACCTTGAATTACGTCCTAAACTGGTTCAAATTTGCCCACCAGGTGCCGTATCGGAATCGTCACCTTGCCAATTCCGTCCGACAGCATAACATTGCTATGATTGTCAGAGTTTGACACTAAGTAAGTTTGACATTTTATATCAGTCACATAGAAATTGAAACGTCTCGTTCTGGGTCTACTTCCACTACATAAATCAGCAGTTATTATGTGCGCGAATCGATTTCAGAACATACCAACAAGAGTTAAGAGTCTGTCTGGAACAATTTCTGTATTTTTGCCAGCAGAAATACCTGTGAATTTTTTGCGACTCTACCCCAACTCTCGTGATCGCCAAAAATCCTAGAAGATTTGGTAAAGAGTATGGTGAGAAATATTAAGAGTACACAGCTCAATTTTTTTTTTGTAATTGCATACTCCGTTGGTCCCAGCACTGGGACCAAACGCCCCATAAGTCGAAACTTGTGTGGGGTTAGGTATACATACAAACACAAACATCCATGGCCTAACTAGGATTCGAACCTATGTCTCGGTGGGAGTCCCCATACGAACTCAGCGCCTTCACGCTCTCGACCACCGAGCCGCAGGAAGTATACTCCCCTGAACATAAACGTACGATAAATCAATCTGCAGATATCGAATCCATAGGTGCCAATATCATCCTCAAAGAAGAAAGGAAAGTTCAGAAGCACTAACTTTAGATGAATTGCATTTTCATATTGTTCATGAAATAATCTTCCTGAATATCACTCGACCATGACAAAAATAGATTTTTATTTCCTTCAATTTATATTGAGTACCCTGTATTATGAGACAATTCAATTCAACCATATAAACATTGATAATCATCAATAATATTGATCATATTCAGATTATTAATGTTCATAAGGTCTCATCAAATTGTCAAAATACAAGGTTCTCTTGATGGAATTATAAGAAAAGTAAAAGTCGGTTGTTCGTCATGGTCTCGGGATATTACCTACGACTATTATTATAATGTAATTAACGAGACTTTCTTTCGCGGAATAAACTCTTGCCCTCTTCTCGGAAGGGCCACGTCAACCGGGCTTGTTCGTGAAAGATGCAAGAAGTTTACTGAAAGATCTTGCAAGGTTAGGAAAATACTAGAAATGTCGATATGAATATCGGCAGGTAGGCCGACAGAGTAGAATTGCACAGAGAGTTATTCAGCAAAATAAGTTCGTCGAACACATTATAAGCGTTCGATTCGGCAGTGATGTGTTCCCTCGATTTGGTATCATATGTGGCAGAATTGAAAACAGCGCCATTCTGAGGAACAGAAGGAACATCACGATGAACACATATTTTTCTACAAGCATTTACACTTATTGTGATTAACTAATGGTAATCCGGGCTTGTTCGTGGAAGATGCAAGAAGTTTACCGAGAGATCTTGCAAGGTCATGAAAATACTAGAAATGTCGTAGGTCAGATATAAATATCGGCAGGTAGGCCGACAGAGTAGTATTGTAGAGAGAGACCTCCTACAAAATAGGTTCGTCAAACACATCTTTATGGAGTGAGGAATGTAGATGATGCTATGTAGGTATTCGGATCGGCAGTGATGATTTCTCTCGATTTGGTATCGTATGTGGCAGAATAATGAAAAACAAACGAAACATCATCACGAAGAACACAGATATTCCCGACTAGCATGTATAGTCACGATTGGCAGACTATTGAAAGTGATATTTTTTACTGATTGCCGTTTGGTTATAAATACGTAGATACGTAGTTACTACGCAGTTACCATGGAGATCACATAATAATGAACAATATGCGAAGAAATTGGTACTCGTGTTTGAAAATATAAACAACTGCCAGTTTATCGATGGGAGTGACGAGTTTGTCTCGAAATTCAAGATGCGCCCACAGAGTACAGCTATTCTCAACGTTAATATGGTGAATTTTACCTCCTAAAAACTAAAAAGGATCTACTGGACGTCATCAAGAATGAACAACATTGTGACGGTTGGTTATTTGGGTTGACACGCATACCTGATTTGTTTCCGATTACAGCAGATTTGGCATTTCACACCCATGCTGGAGATATAAATACACCTTTATTATAGTTTAGTATTGGATTTATAAACATCTCAGTTAAGTATTTTTGTTTTGATCAGAGAAGCCTTCAAGATTCAAATACTTGCTTGATCTGTATTTCATTCGTTATTCTCGGGATGGATAACTTGTTTTTGAATAATCACGACAAGCTATAGTTTTTTGTCTCAAACAACGATATTGTTTAACTTCATTTTGATCATCAAGTCAAACACAGTGTAGTATGGAGAGGAATAAATAATCACTATTATCATTGTTGATATGTTCACTCTGTGGTTGTATTTATATTGAAACTACAATTCGAACATCTTAGAAAACATAACCTGCTGTTAATGCAGGTAGAATATTGTCACCACATGGATTATTTGTCAATATTTGTTGCATTGCATACATATGGCACGGCATTGGTGGTTACTTCACATGTTTATTTGAGTTAATTGTTTCGGTTGCAGAAAAAATAGCATGTTTCATTCGGATCAAAAGTGACTTTGTTCGACTCGCAAATTTTGCTTTCGCTCGGCTTCGCTAAACGCTCCGCCTCGCAAATGCAAAATTCGCTTGTCAAACAAAGTGTCACTTTTGATCCTAATAAAACAGTCTACTATTAAGTGACAGGAACTGAAGTTTCTTAGCCAAAGTAACTTTGACTCATAGGGAATGATTGAAGTGGAAATAACCAATATCTTACGGCAAATATGACCAAAAATTCACTCAATTAGTAGGTGATAAATAAAGTAGCGACAATGTCTGAGACATCACAGTAGTTACTACAAAATAAATACTATAGTGAAGTTCTCTTGGAATGATAAGCAATAAAACAATATTCGAGATATTTTATTAGTAGTGTTGAGAAGTACTGCTTTTGTGGTTATTACTTCTTATAAATCCAATGCAATCTGATATTATTCCGTAGAATTTCTTCTATGAATGACAGAGTTTTCTACTATGAAGTTATGAAAAGTTATTTTGATCGAGGGATTGGTACGAAAGCGTGGAAAGGCCACTATTGTATGTTTTTTATTTTATCTCGGAATACAGACACATTCCACCCTAGTTATGTGATATACTATTTGTATCTTACCGGTGATTCAAGGACTTCGGTGTTCAGGATGGCGCCATAGTTCGCTCCTCCGCCAGAACCCGCGATGTCTTCGCCTTCGCCATAATTGTTCGCTCCTTCGCCAAAATCTGCGGTCCCGTCCGCTCTCGCTTCGAGCGCCGCCAGCGGCATTTCCCGGAAGCTGGTCACTGTGTAGCAGACGCACACGACGAAAATGACAGTGATGAGGGTGAAGACTGCGCGCACGTGACCTCCGAGAAGGTACCCTGAACACATCAAAAGACACGATTTAACTCTTTCAGGTACAGCAATTTCGAAATATAACACCCCCTAGATGTACAGCTTTATTTTTCTTCATATTTTCAAGAGATTCATCAATAAACTAACTCCAAATGTCTCAAATGATACGGACAAATTTGACATAATTTTAGAATCTACTAATTTTTCCAAAAAAAAAAAACGTTGGGTCAAAATCTAACCCACCATTCCATGAGGTGAAAGATTTCACGAGAATCGACTCATTTCAAATCACTGTGGAACGTCTGCTAACATGTTTTGTTCTTTGCAAGACAGAGTGAAACACACAACCAGTTTTTTACAACTCCTAACTCTCCTGAATTGCAAAGAGCATCATCTCCTTCGACTTGTTCGGATAGTTTGATGAGCACCCTGTGTGACACTCATTACCCGGCTCTGACTGAGTGTTTTTCTCTATTCGTATCGTTGATGTTCTCGATGGAGATACTGATATTTATTGACGACTGAATGATCAAATCTTTCATTGATAACTTTGGAAGACATAGAGTATCTTGTGAAGAATAAATGAGTTGACAACAGCGGCATCCAAGAAAAAGATTTCATGAACATCTGTTCCTTTATATGTCTTTCCAGTCGTCTGATAATTCTGCTCAGTATAGAAATTCATCTGGAAAACCATATGATTCAATAATTTGTCCGTGATAAACTGACGAAAGAGATTATCCATCTTGAGCAGCTCCAGAGATCTTTTGGCTGAACGATCTCATCCATTCCACACCATTTTTTCTCTATCAATGGTTTCAACTCTGCGAAAGGAGTATCAAATCTTCTGGGTCCCATATACCGGGTGGCTACGGAAGTATTGCCTACGGAATATCTCAGTTATTGTATGAAGTAGGTTTGTGAAATTTGAAGCGTCAATATAATGACATAAGAGCTAGAATTTGAGCATATTGACATGTCAAAGTTAACTTCCGGTCTGACCGGAAGTAACATCAACTTTCTTATTTTGAATGGAAACCCTATTTTTTTTTCTCTTCGCTTTATTCAGCATTCAATTCCCTTTCTAATGACATATCACAAGTTGATATCTAACCAGAAACTAGATCATAAAAAAATTATTATTGAAATTCTCCGAGTAGGCCGTGGAAGCAAAATGAAAGCCAAAAAATGACTTTCTATTATATCATTGAAAAGGAATGGTTATGCTGAATAGTACAGGCAAGAAAAAGTTGTATGTTCCTATTCAAGTTATGGACCTACAGAGTATTGTTTTTTTCCCAATTTTTCCAATTTTTTTTTTTGGCGGCTTTTTATAACGCCGACGAATGAAAATGAAATATCACAGTAGTAGCAACTGTTATCAACTGACGTATGGTTTCCATAGCCAACTTTTCAATTTTTGGCTTTCATTTTGCTTCCACGGCCTACTCGGTGAATTTCAATAATATTTTTTTTCTGATCTAGTTTCTGGTTAGATACCAACTTGTGATATGTCATTAGAAAAGGAATTGAATGCTGAATAAAGCGAAAAAAAAATAGGGTTTCCATTTAAAATAAGAAAGTTGATGTTACTTCCGGTCAGACCGGAAGTTAACTTCGACATGTCGATATGCTCAAATTTTAGCTCTTATGTCATTATATCGACGCTCCAAATTTCACAAACCTACTTCATACAATAACTGAGATATTCCGTAGGCAATACTTCCGTAGCCACCCGGTATGTATAAGTACTGGTGTCTCGATATTCATATCCGACAGTATAATGTTGTTAAAATTGATTTCGATATCATATTCCTCATCATTATCCTTGAAAAATGTCTTGGTCATGTTGTATGGTGGGACAAATTTCAAACAGCTTTGACTTTCACATATTGTGAACG